GTAAACACTATGGATTATCGCAGCGCCAGCTAGATAGGTCGAGAGAATATACCAACAAAGTCACGTAGTGACGTATGCTGAGCCCTGGGGGGTTATAAGCCACCGTAGCTCAGCACTCTGCCTCTTTCGCTTTCTCGCCTGGTTGAGATAGGTTGAGTGATATATTCGCGCTGTCGAGTGCAGCTTACTAGAGCAGCGAGATATCATCCTCACAAGCTGTGTCAGCGCGCATCTACGCCACTCCAACGGATTTGGAGTATATTTAGCAGTGAGTTTTTGATTTGGTGAGTTTTTGATTTTCTACTTGAGTCTATATTGCTTTGTCGGTTACACTCTATGCCTCTCGGTGCTATCCGGTGGCTGGTGTTTTCCGCGACTAAGTTAACGGTCTCCCGTTGACTTAATCATCTGTTATCTATTCTGAGTGTTTTTCCTCGAATTTATGTTATACTCTGTGCCCTTCGGTTCAATCCGTCGGCCATTTTAGATATATTTTCCTTTTTTTCGTGAGATACTTGGTTGGCATTACCTGTCGGTTCACCTGAGGGAATCGTATATATATATTTTTTGTTATTATTTTTATTTTTCCTGCCTGTCTTCATTGTTACCATCATCCCGCTTAACTTAAACCTTACGGTGCCATCCGAGGGTGTTATTAGCAAGTAACTATGGCTCACAGCTCGATTGCCACTGGTTTTCCACTGACTTGTAAGATGTGCCCTAATAATCTTCTCCCGGACTACGGTCATGACATCTGCCCGTCATGTTTGGGTGCCCAACATCTGAGAGAGGCTCTCACGGACCCGTGTCTGCACTGAAGCCTTTTACCTATGTCAGAACGACGTCTCCGTCTTGCTGAGTTAGACGCTAATTCAGCGGTGAAACTCGGGCAGTTGGATGTAGCCCCTTTGCGAACTCGGAAGCGCAAGGCGTCCGCGGGAGCCGGCGCTCCCCTTCCATCTAAGAAGAGGGCCACATCGTGAAGTGATGAACATTCGCATGTTGAGGAAAATTCACTTTCTAAGACGGTTTCTGTGCTTTCTTCAGAGATGGCAGAGCTGAAATGCCTGCTTCACTTGCTTCAGCCTGTCACATCTGCTACACTTGTGAAGATGACACAGGAGGATGAGAATGTTCAGAATCGGGGAACTGGGGAAGAGTCCCTCGATTCCCTTTGTTTTTCACATCATTCTGATATGGATGTGCTTTCTACGAGTACTTCAGATTCTTTTTTTCGTGATCACGGAGATGCTGTAGATGTTGCTGCACAACCATTTCCTCAGGATGTTTTCACTGGTGATCCAGCAGCAGAGGGGTCTAGTGGAGGGTCAGTTCAGTCATCTGGACAGGCCCAGCCCTCTTCCGATGATACTTTGTCTGTACTTCGACTGGCAATTGCTAGTCTAGGACTTGATGAGTCACCAGTCCAGTCTGCCCAAACAAATGTTTTTTTCAGACAGGCCTCAGCTGTGGCTTCGGCTTCTTTTGCCATGCCACAATGTAAAGATTTTGTGGCTGAATTTTCAAATGCCATCACTGGTTCTGGTCCGCCTAAGCGGCGCTCAAAGATTGCTCGAATGCTAGCATCTATTGCTGAAGCAGATTCCATCGGGTGAATCGTGCTCCGGAGATAGAGCAGCCTGTTGCAGCCTCCTGACGAGGCACTACGAGGGAATGTGCAATGTCCCAGTGCTCAATGTGGTCGTACAGATTCCCTACTAAAAAAGGCATACGAGTCTGTTGCCTACATTACTCGTGCGGAAAACACAATCTGCCAGTTACTTCTTGCTGCCACCAGTACATTTGAACCAGCAAATGTTGATCCCTCTATTTCAAAGTTTCTGCAAACTGCTCTCTTGACAATGGGCCATGTGACCCGTGAGCTGGGTAGTCTTACAGCCACGCTCCTGGCAGCCCGCCACCAAGTGTGGCTTGCCCAAGCACGGCTACCTGAGGACTGTAAGAAAACCTTGAGAGATCTTCCATATGTTCCCGGGCATCTTTTTGGTTCTAATGTTCCGGAACTGTTAGAAAAGAGGGTAAAGCTGTCTGAGGCCACTCGTCAGCGGACGCAGGTGCAGCGCAACTCTACCTTTAGGATGCCAGCAGTTCAGACCCGTCATCACTATGCCACGTCGGAGCAACTTTTCCGCCGGCACAGCCGCCTCAAAGGTCTCGTGTTACTGAGGATGCGAGAGTTTTTCGGCCACCTCATCGACAGTTGCCAGGGGGACCTCCGTCAGCGCTTGAGACAAAGCTTGAGACATTCAGGCCGGCGGTCGATCGTTTTTCAATAGAACAGCTGGAGTACTGGAGGACCAACACAGCAGACCCCTGGGTTTTGACGACTCTGAGCAGGGGATATACTCTACAGTTTCGCTGCCGGCCTCCCAGCTTTTCAAGAATTGTTCCTACAATCATCAGAGACGCAGTTCGTGCAATGGCTCTCTCTCAGGAAATTTGTTCACTGTTAGAGAAGGGAGCCATAGAAAAAGTTCATCCCCTCGTTCAGGGAGACAGGTTCTATTCGACATATTTTCTTGTTCCGAAGAAGGACGGTGGTTTCCGCCCGATTCTCGATTTGAGGCACCTGAATTTGTTCCTGAAGGTCCTCCCTTTTCGAATGCTGCGCACAGCCGTCGACCAGTTCTCGTCGGGAACTGGTCACAACAGACACATTCCTCACAGGGTGGGGGGCAACGTGGAATCGGAGAGGTATTTGCGGGCACTGGACACCGACACAGGCCACAGAACATATCAATCTGCTGGAACTACATGCCGTGTTCTTGGCTCTAAAGTATTTCATGCCAGTCCTAGCAGGCCGTCCATGTTCTCGTTCGGTCCGACAATACCTCAACAGTGTTCCATCTGAACCACCAGGGCGGCACAAAATCTCGCAGGTCTCTACAGCTTACTCACGAGATCCTGACATGGTGTCAGCCGCGACTCGCTTAACTGAGGGCAGCTCATATTCCAGGAGTGTGCAACCAGACAGCAGACACTCTTTCCAGGGATCAAGTACATCCAGGAGAATGGAGACTTCATCCAGATGTAGTGCAGGAGATCTGGCTACGATTTGGAAGAGCGGAAGTGGATCTTTTTGCTTCAGAGATGACCACTCACTGTCGTTTATAGTTCGCAAGGACGGAAGTGTCCAGTCCCTTGGGCCAGGATGCATTGTTTCACGAATGGCCGAACTGCCTACTATATGCGTTCCCACCTATTCCTCTGTTATGGGAGACGTTACACAGGATCTCCCTGTACAGGCACAGAGTGCTATTCGTGGCACCACGTTGGCCAGCCAGACCATGGTTTCCTTTGTTGCTGAGACTTCTGACAGGCAATCCGTGGAAACTTCCCCTCAGGAAGGACCTCCTCTCGCAGCTGGAGGCAAGGGTCTGGCATCCGGATCCAGCTTGTCTGCAGCTTTGGGTCTGGCTATTGGGTTAAATCCTTCTCTGGAGCATTGTGACCGTGCGGTTATCCATACCATCTCTAACGCCAGGGCTTCTTCCACACGACAGATTTATGCTTCCCGTTGGAAGCTTTTTTCTGCATGGTGTGGGGAGCGGGGGCTTGATCCTGCAACATGTGACATACCGAGCATCTTAAACTTTCTTCAACATTTACTGGAGGAGGGCAAAGCAGCTTCCACGTTGAAAGTGTACGTCGCTGCGATTGCTGCATATCATGCTCCAGTTGGTGGATCTTCTCTTGGATCTCACAGTCTTGTCTGCAGTTTTCTGAAGGGTGCATGACGTCTGAACCCTGCTCGGACTCCTCACTTCCCTGTGTGGGATCTGCCACTTGTGCTTACGTTCCTTTGCTCATCCCAGTTTGAGCCCTTGCAAAGCACTGACATTAAATGGATGTTCTTGAAGACTGCTTTTTCGTTGGCTTTCGCATCTGCGAAACGAGTCAGTGAGTTGCACGCGCTGTCTGTTAACGAATTGTGCTTGTGTTGGTTGCTGGATGATTCCAGGGTGGTTCTACGACCCAATCCTTCTTTTCTTCCGAAAGTCCTTCTTCCTCAGTTTATAAACCAGCACATTGAACTGGCCTCTTTTCAGACTTCTTCAGGGTCTTGATCAAGTACCCAACTTTTGTGTCCTGTGCATGCCTTGAAGTGCTATGTTAGCTCTACTGCTCAATTTCGACAGTCAGACCAGTTATTTGTTTGCTATGGTGGTGTGAAGAAAGGTGCTCCAGTGTCGAAGCAGAGATTGTCAAACTGGATAGTGGAGACCATTACACTGGCTTACAAGGCAGCAGATAGGCCACTGCCCTGGAGACTAACCTGCCATTCCGCTAGGGCCATCTCATCTTCATGGGCTGTTTTAAGAGGAGTTTCCTTGGCGGATGTCTGCACTGCCGCTACCTGGTCTTCTCCATGCACGTTTGCCCGGTTTTATAAAGTCAGTGTTGCTGCTCATCATGCCATTAGTTCTGCGGTTCTTCAGGAGCGGCCTTAATTTTCATCAGGTGGGTGGCATTCCTCATGACTATGTTGGTATGTGTCATCCATAGTGTTTACACTGCCTCTGGCGGTCAGTAGGAATGAAACAGAACTCTAGTTACGCATGTAACTGTAGTTCTGTGAATTCCGGATGAACGCCAGAGTTCTTGGTCACTCGGAATGTGCGAGAAAGGCGTACCGAGGCAGAGTGCTGAGCTATGGTGGCTTATAACCCCCCAGGGTTCAGCATACGTCACTACGTGACTTTGTTGGTATATTCTCTCGACCTATCTAGCTGGTGCTGCGATAATCCATAGTGTTTACACTGCCTCTGGCGGTCATCTGGAATTCACAGAACCATAGTTACATGCGTAACTAGCGTTTCTTCCCAGTGGAAAGTGAAAAAGAGCTAAGAGAGACATCAGCTGAGATCCTAGGATCTTTGGTGAATGGAAAGTCAAGGCCGAGGCCTGGCAGGAACTTAGGGGTTGCAGAAGCGTTCTAGCTCCCAGCCTCATCTTCTCCGTATCTAACAGAACCGCAGACTGACTGACTATGTGTTGGAGCCCACTGGGCACGCCCGCACCGGCTCAGGCTCTCCACACGGGCCGCAATCAGAAGGTTTTAGCAGAAGACTTAGCAGAAGAAAAACATGGGCGGAACTGTGCGTGAGCCTTTTAAGGTCTGAGAAGATTCACGCCTCTCAGGATGGGCTTGTCCAATGAGAAAGGCTGAAACTCCAAGCGGAAGGTTGGAAATACTGGGGAGTTTTATGACTCTTTGTGTGAGGGCATGGTAATTTGCATATGGAACTCGATTGGGTGTTGATGCAAAATTACTAAAGATTCTTAGAACACTAATATATTGCCTATGTACCCACATATAATATAAACGCTCATTTAGATCTTTAGAAGACAAATTCAAAGAGACCAAACATGGTATGGGTGGGGTTATATTAACTAGTGATTTATCATAACACACACACAAAACAGTATACAATTCAAAAGACAATATACAAGAACAGTAATGGAATGCACAATGTCCTGAGGAGATGTGTGTTCATTCACAGAAAGGTTTTCCTATGAATTAATTAGAGAAGAGTCCATTTTTATGGGGATTGTGTGTCTTTCCTAAGTGTAAGTGAATTGTGAGTTGTGCTCTGCCCGCATTCCTTTGAGCAATAAAACTAGTGTTATCAGATGGTTTGTCTTTGGTTGCCATGGAACCAGAGGCCTGTTCTGTGGTGTTCGCTGCATTTCGGAGGAAGAGTCCATAGACCCTTATAGTTGGCCCTTTGGTTAGGTGAAGGGGGCATTAGAGATTATTTGTTAAATATAACAAATAGTTGTGTGTCTGATTGGTCCAAATGCTACACTGGTTTCCTGAACGCATGTCCTAACTGCCATTGGTTGAGCAGACAAATAGTCCAAACTCGCATGTTGCTGCTGTGTCATGATTCTCAAACGAACAGCAATGTTTTGAAAGCTCAGTGTTTATAGGTTTTGGAGGGAATCAACCTATGAATAGCTTGGTTGTGGATGGGAGAAAGTGTTTTAACATCCAAAAAATGACACATCACCTTTAAAGATGCACTTCACTCAATCACCCACGCTTTCTTGGTTTTTGTCAGGTGGACAAACATAAGGCCAACTTGGCTGCCATTATGATCACATACCCCTCCACTAATGGTGTATTTGAGGAGAACGTGAGTGAAGTGTGTGAGCTCATCCATCAGAACGGCGGACAGGTGTACCTGGATGGTGCCAACATGAACGCACAGGTCAGACAAAGAACGAACAGTAACGCTTTAGAATACGGCATTATTAACATTAGTTATAAAATCAACTAGCAATGAACAATACATTTTACAGCATTTATTAATTTTGGTTAGTTAACTCCTGCATTTTTTACATTAACAGTTGTATGTGCTGTATGAATGAACCATGCACCATATTTCTAAATTAATTTGAATAAATGCTGTAAAAGGTTTAGAAGCAAGAAGTGTTTCAGAGAGCTGTATTCACAGTGATGTAAAATTTTTACATTGAACGTACATGTTCTTATGGATTTTTCATGTTCTTCTGATTCAGGTTGGATTATGTCGGCCAGGAGACTATGGCTCAGATGTGTCTCACCTGAATCTCCATAAAACCTTCTGCATTCCTCACGGTGGTGGCGGCCCTGGGATGGGACCAATAGGAGTGTAAGTGTTTTGAAGTGAGCAGACCTGCCTACTGAATCTACCAGAACAGTTGAACTGTTGACTCCAGTTAACCATATGGCTTTTTCCGACAGGAAACAGCATCTCGCTCCCTTCCTGCCCAGTCATCCAGTGGTGAACATGCAGTCCAGTAATGCAGGAAGTTCTCTGGGCACCATCAGTGCCGCTCCCTGGGGCTCCAGCGCTATCCTGCCCATCTCATGGGCTTACATTAAGGTCAACACTCACATCTTACCTTTTGTTTATCTGAATAGCAGTGATGCATCAGTATTAACATTCTGACCAATACTGACTAATTATTTTTTTAGGTTATGGCTGAGATCAGTTTCTATACTATTTTGCCTAAATACATTAAAAATAAAACGCTAAAATCAGTATGAACAATAGATAATCATTTTGAGGTTTTCTAAAGATTACATTTGTTAAATGTTTAATTATTGGTTTATTTAAAGACTAACTTAAAAGGAATAGTTCACCCAAGATTGGAAATTGTCATTTACTCGCCCTCAAGTTGTTAAAATCTTGTATGAGTTGAGCACAAAGGATGATATTGTTGATAGTAGCCACTGACTTCCATATTATGGAGGGGAAAAAAACCTATGGAAGTTAATGGCTACTGTCAACTGTTTGGCTATTCACATTCTTCAAAATATCTGCTTTTGTGCTTAATAAAGATTTGTACTCATAAATATTTGGAACAAATGAAGGGTGAGTAAATGATGAGAAACTTTTCATTTTGAGTGAACTGAGTGAGTTTTAGTTTAAGGCAAAGGTCATCTGAATGAAAAAATAAAGGAAATGAGCAGTGCAATTAAATATCCAATAAAAAATAATAAAATAATATGGTCTGATATGGTATCGATAAATCATGCATGCCCAATTTATTCATCTAATATTTGTTTTCTTTTCCATTTAACAGATGATGGGTTCAAAGGGTCTTGTTCATGCTACAGAGGTGGCCATCCTTAATGCTAATTACATGGCTAAAAGACTGGAAAACCACTACAAAATTCTTTTCAGGGGCTCTAAAGGTTGGCTTTATTGAAATTTTTATTTTTTATTTTTTGCTGTTAAATGAATTGAAGTACCTCACAAACATTTCTGATTATTTTGCATTTGCAGGATTCATTGCTCATGAATTTATTTTGGATGTGCGGCCTTTCAAAAAGTCAGCAAACATTGAAGCAGTTGATGTAGCAAAAAGACTGCAAGATTATGGTAAGTGGAAAAACATCTATAAAGTAAATATGTTTGGCTTTAAATATGTTTGATAATTTATTGATTCTCCATCTTTTATGACAGGTTTTCATGCACCGACCATGTCATGGCCTGTGCCTGGTACTCTGATGATCGAACCCACAGAGTCTGAGGACAAGGCTGAGCTCGACCGCTTCTGTGACTCACTGCTGGCCATCCGTCAGGAAATCGCAGACATTGAAGAGGGCCGGATGGACTCAAGGGTTAATCCTCTCAAGGTGAGCGTTTTAAAGCTTAACTAACTTAACTTGAACCCGGAACATTCCTTATCGGTAGCATCTGTGCAGCTTTAATCATGTGTACAGTAATGCACATACACTGGAAGTCTATGGAGCATAGAACTATTTGTATTGCTTGACATATTTTATGCCCAGAAGAATTAATATAAGCGCTTTATTAAAAACACAAGCTTCTCATTTCTGTTTTTAAACCCTTCGGATTGTCTTTGCCCTATTGACTTTCATTAAGTGCATTTTGCATTAATCGCATTAATTCTAGAACTGAACTTTTATTGAATCTGGATCTTTCTGTAGTTCCTCTAACTTGTCTTTGATGTTTTCCCAAAGATGGCTCCTCACTCATTGGCCTGTATTACCTCTACCACATGGGACAGACCTTACTCCAGAGAGTATGCTGCTTTCCCCATGGTGTGTATCTTACATCAATGTAAAAATATATAAAACTTACTTAAAATAAATGTTTTTATTCACTCAGTTTTACAATGTATCTTCAACCCTGTTATTTCAGCCTTTCGTGAGACCTGAGACCAAGTTCTGGCCCACAATTTCAAGGATCGATGACATCTACGGTGACCAACATCTCGTCTGCACCTGTCCACCCATGGATGTCTACGAGTCGCCATATGAAGAAAGGGCTTCGTCGTGACCTCATTACTAAATGAAATGCTTCTTCATCCAAATGAACCATTCCCATCAAATATGATCATTTATTCTTCCCTGTGATTACAGTCTCTTCAGTACGTTCATGGTGCCTCATATTTCCTTTTGCATACATTGCACAAATAGCTGGCCTCTCCTCCTCTGTTACTCTACTAAAACGATCCAAATCTGATTCAGATACTGTAGTCGACCTTTATAGGGGGTTAATTTTTTTGTTGTTGTTTTTATATTTTTATTCACTGTATAAAAAATATTTGGGTGTTTTTGGTCTGTCTGTAGGCATAACTCACTGGCACTGTTCTCAGTGTTAACATTAATTTTATAGATGTAATGTAAGTTTTCTAATTATTTAAGAAATTGAGCCTGTTTGTAGCAATTTAATAAATATTTTAAGAGGAATATTTACTGGTTTACATATTTCCATCAATGGTATTATTCAAAGTCACACAATCAGCATGCATTCTAATTTGAAATGGAGTTAAGTTGCGTTTCACACTGATGAACATTTCTCTTTTTCCATAAGTTTCCAGTCACTATTCCTAAAAATAAAAGCAGTCCAAGGTTTCGGTTTGAAGCAAACTTTTTCCAGCAGTCCTCAGGACTGTTGATGTCCACAGCGTAGATCTGTGGAACACAAAGTAAATTATTAATTGTCAAAGTAACAATTTTTTTTTTTTTTTACAATGTCATAAATTCCTTATTTAAGAGGTTTTTGTTTTTTTCAGCAAATATAATAAATTCTTTTTTTAAATGTCTTTTTTCAGCAAATAATGATATGCAATTAATTAATCTGGCGTATCATGTCATTTAATTTTAAATTATTAATTGTCAAAGTAACGATTCTTTTTTTTTTTTAATAATGTCATAAATTCCTTATTTAAGAGGTTTTTGGTTTTTTCAGCAAATAATGATATGCAATTAATTAATCTAGCGTATCATGTAATTTAATTTAGATTTTTAAACGACTGATAAGCCAAAGTTTTTTCTTCAAAAGGCTTAATTTGTTTTCTTGTAACCCCAGGCAGGCTACTACTATCAAGTACAGTCTATCTTGCTCACCTGATGTGCTAGATGAATGGCTACTGCAGACACTGCACAATAGTAGGGCAAAGTCTGGTCCGCATTAGCTCCTGCTAGAACCAGCCCTGACAGCATCGCCCCAGTGAAGCCACTCAGCCACAGTTTGGTGTTCTCCTGAAACCTCAGAGCTGTAGACTTCACACCCACTTTTAAATCATCATCTTTGTCCTACTCGAGATGAGAAAATGGATCACCAAATATACACTATGCACACAATTATGTTGGGGTGTGATAACTAATCAGATACTGTACCTGATGGGCATAGATTGTGTCATAAATCAATGTCCACATGACACCAGATACATAGAGAGGTAAACACACCGACCAGTCACATGATCCCTTCACAGCAGACCAACCCAGAAGAGCACCCCAATTAAAAGTGAGACCTACAGGGGCAAAAATGTACAGAATGTTCATGTAGAAACACTTTCAACATTTTTTTTTCCCCAGCAATAATATGGAGGGAAGGGTTTGAGAAACTGGTATAAAAATATTAAGTACATTAATAGTAACACACCTAAAACAAACTGTGGCCAGTATGTGATTCTCTTCATGAGAGGGTATGTGACCACTAGCGACAAAGAGGCGGCTCCAAGAGCTATGCTAGAGGCAGATGGGAAGTCACAGTTTATCAGTTAGTAAAATTTAAGTTGGCATGAAACAGAAACTGCTTTTAATCTCTAAAGACTTTAAAGATATAGCAACAAAATAAACATTAACGCGCCCCTATTATGCCATTTCCAATATTGCCTTTCATGCAGTGTGTAATGTAGCTGTATGTGAATGTAAATGATCTGCAAAATTGTAATTCGAATCAAACTTCCGTGACGGCTACACATCATGGGGTAACATATTTGCATATTATGTTATGCTGCATATATGTTCTACGTTGACCGGCCACAAACAACTTGACCCCGCCCACAAACACGTCATTTTACTGACGACTGCTTCTCTAATCTTGGGGAGTTTAACACGGGACCCGTTTATTTGGACCAGCTGGCTCCGCTGAATCACAACCTGTAAGTATGATAAATAATAGATGTTTATATTTTCTATCGAGCGTTCAATAAGGAACTTTGGCAAAAGGGAGTATCGTTTCTGACACACGCTGTGCACGGTAGACCAATCACAACAGACTGGGCCTTCTGACCAATCAGAGCAGAGTAGGCTCACGGAAAGGAGGGGTTCAGAGAGACTGAATCTTAGAACTGCTTCGAACAAATCGTTTTGAGAATTGTTGGAAAATGAGGTGATGCATATTTTGATAAAAATAAAGGGTTGTTTGATCTTGCATGCTTGTAAAACCTGTTGTAGGAGACTCCAAAAACAATATTAGGAACCTTAAAAATAGCATAATAGGTGCACTTTAATATAATATCAACTTGAAAGTTAAAATTCTACTCCGGTCCCAAATGTTGGCAAAATACATAAAAATACAGGTAACACTTTAGTTTAGGGACCAATTCTCACTACAAACTAGTTGCTTAGTTGCTCATATTGGCTGTTTATTAGTATATATAAAGCACATATTAATGGCTTATTCTGCATGACCATATTTTAGATCCTTTAATCCCACCCCATACCTAAACTTAAAGTTTACCATGCTAACTATTAATAAGCAGGAAATTGGGAGTTTATTGAGGCATAAGTTGTAAATAATAGTTAATAGTGAGAATTGGTCTTTTCTTTAAACTAAAGTGTGACCAAAATATTGTGTGAAAATACTGTAAAATAGAAAGCACCTGTAGTAATTGAGGCAGAGCAGAACCCCCAGTGCTAAACTCAGTTGGCCTCCAAGGAAAACCAGAGCCTGAAACGGTGTGATCTCCCCTGATGCAATGGGCCGAGTGGCTGTCCTTGACACCTACCAGAAATATGACATAGGCTATCCCAAAATCAGATTCCAGCAGCAACCAAGATCAAATCCAGGTTGTTTTTTTTTGTCCTGAACCTTGCTAACAGTCTAACTGTAACAATCATTTGACCCACTTTTTCAAGATTCTGCCTGATTAAACTGATAAAACATCAACAACCCAATTATTAGCACTTTCCTATTGCCAAATTTGTGGTTTTTATTTAGACTCAATTGCATTATTCTGCTTGTATTATACGCCTGTTTAATGATACAGTTATGTACCACTTTAATTGTACTAAATGAGACATAAAATGATAATTAGACAAGTCAAGCATGAGTGGCATCCCATGTCTGTTAACTTCCGGAAACACTTAAGTCTTCCATTTGAGTTTCATATCAAATCAGGTTAAAGTGACAGTTGACGGAAAAATGAAAATTCTATGATTATTTACTCACACTCATATCGTTATCTTGAAGAATGTTGGTAACCAAACAGTTTTGGCTACCACAGACTTCTATTGTATGGACAAAACAAAAAAAAGCCACTGGGACATTTCTCTTCTTACCACAAAATATATATCTTATTTTGTTCCACAGGTTTGGAACAACATGAGGGTGAGTAAATGATGACAGAACCTTCATTTATGGGTGAACTATCCCTTTAAGTCTTATTATCTGACACTGTTTATGAGATATGTTATAGCAAAGGTGCCCAATTGCTTTGACATGCTGACACAGGTAAGATTAGGAGATATTTTAGCCTTAGTCTGGGTGTGCAGATGGCAATGATGAAATGTATACCACTAGTGGAATAGATAACCATTATGTTGAATGTTCTCAGATAGTGAGAATAAGCAAAAGTTGACTTTCTGGGACTAAGGGAAGAACATGATGAGGGAAACAATCCATCTTCTTCTACGTATGTACTCTTACCTTCACGTCAAAGTCTTTATCCCACATGTCATTGATAGTGCATCCTGCTCCTCTCATAAGCAATGCTCCCACACCGAAGAGCACAAGCATGCGCAGATCAGGAATGCATCCTGGATCTGCCGCCAACCCAATACTCCACGTACAAGGCAGATACAGCAGCCACGTTCCTACAAGAACACAACATTGAAATTTCACTGAAACAAAGAACAGCTTGTAATTTGCAAGAGCATCCTGGATAACAACACATTACATCTCCGTTTCACATGAGCTCACCTATGGGTTTGTCCAGCCTCATCAATCTGAGGTACGGCTGAACGGACGCCGGAGCTGCGTTCACAATCCCAGCAGGAGTGAGGCTAAAAAACCTTCTGCCACAGTTGTGACCTGCCAGCAAAGGGGGCCATATTCTCTGTTTGTGATCGTCACTTTTGTTAAAGCAGGATCCAGGCTGACAGAAGGCTGTGGCGATGTTTTCATGCTGCCTTCTGAGACTTGAAAGATGGGCAGCGCAGATCTGTGGTAGACCCCTCTTCAATGCATGCGGCTCAAGCAGTGTCAGTAGTCTGGTGGACATCATCTTGTCTGTTGAGCTGTCATGAACAACTTTTAGTAGATGTCACGACTGCAAAGTAGCGAGGCGCTTCATTGTATACTTGCATTCAAGTGCAAATGAGGGAGCAGGAACAATGAGCCTGACAATACAAACAGCAGAGAACACAATACACAGTATTCAGTGCAGATTACTGACGAGTCATGAAAATGCCAAGTTGAGTGAATAAGGCTTTTTCTTGTGCCAGTATTCTGTACGTGTAGTCAAACTAAACACAATTTTAAGATATTAAATATTATGCTGCTTCTGTTACACTGAACACTTGCTATGGCCATTGAAACGCCCCTGATTGACTAATGGTGTTACAAGCATCGCTAATATGTAATATACGAATAAAAATGATAGATCAGTAATGTCGATTACCTTTCCCGGTTTAATCGTCTGTAAATCATTTAATTCTATTTGACATACTGAACTTACTGCACTCAGTGACAGCTGAACAATTTTGAAGTCCTTCACGTTGTGTGCGCCGTTGTTGTGTTCCCCCTGAAACGTTTGTTTTTCTGTATGGTTCCGCTTGTGAATATGAAACATTTGCTGGTTTGAATTTTCATTTATTCTACTGTACATGTTGTCTTTCATGTTATTTAATAATTATTTGTAAGCACAGATTTAAGATGACGTGTACAGAAATATCACAGTCAACAGATGCTATTATAAAATATGCTTTAATAAAGGTTTCTACACCAAAGCTGTTTCATTCAAATCTATTAAGTCAAATTAAAATGTAATGCACATATATATGGCACGTTCATAATGATTATGGGTATTTGCAAAGCAAGCATTATAACAAATTATATAACTGCATTAATATGTTACTGTAGCAGGCAAACATGGCACTTAAAATGACAAAATGACCCAGATATTTTAAATGTGAAGACAAAAATACTTTGTGTGCTTGTAACATTGGATGGGCTTTGTTTTATACTATTTTATTCACCTAAAATAGTGATGGGTTTAAATAAAATGTAACTCTGTAATTTTATACATTATTTTACTGGCGGTCCCTGCTTATTCTCTCTATTCAGAGGTTGAACATCATTTGCTTTTCTCTCTCTCTCTCTCTCTCTCTCTCTGCAACCCCCCCTAAAAAAGGGTTTAAAATGTTTGTTTTCTTGTTTATTATACTGTATACTACTGTTTCTTTTATTCACATGAACCTGTTTAAGTATTTGTATACGAAATTTCAGCTGTATGACTGAAAATTTGAGCACTTGTTACTTTTGTATGCGTTACATACATACATTTGCTTTTAACATTATAAATGAACTCCCTCGCGTGGTCATTGGAAACCACTACAATGTGGCTTATCAAACCAGTTATGTTAAAATTTAAAATGAACAAATAAATTTAGATATTAGGCTGAAAGTACGGGTTGGTTTTTGTATTTGCATGTTCTATGATTATCTGTTCTGACAGATGAGGAATTTGTAGCTTTGTCTTCACAAGTTTCAGAAAGCAGCTCATTGCTCCACAAGTCACTACTGTCGTCGATGGTGTATGGCAAGCCATTTTAGCTTAAAGGTGGGGTAAATGATTTCTGGTAGCTAATGTTGATATTTCAAATCACCAAAACAAACACGCCTCTACCCCAAAAGGGTCTCACCCCTATTTAAAACCTCCGCCACACACAATACGTACGCAACCCAGGCAACCATTAGTTATGTGAAACAAAGCAAAACCAAGTGTAGACACGGTGTTACTCACCTATCGAGAAGAAACAAAGCATCCACGGTGTCCGATCGTAGGCCTTCCGCTTCTTGAGTTCTCTCCAGAGCTGGAAAGCTGATCAGATATTTACACAGGTCCTACTTCCTGCCTTCTCGTATGCCGTCTTCTGCTTGGCAGAAGTTTTCCTCTTTTGTTTTTTATCCGCCATCTCTATCTTTCTGTCGTCGCTCGGCTCGGCTAATGTCCGTCCTGTGCACTGAGCGCTCTCTCCTCCGCATCATCAGTAGACACGCCCCTTACTGCTAATTGGCTACAAGTTTGTTTTGGTACTCGGCCCGACTCAGTTTTCTAAAGCGTTTTTGAAAAAATACATACCCCACCTTTAAAATATTCCCAGCGTTACTCATCAGAATTGCATTTTTACTAGTAACAATTAACTTAGAGAGCTCTACATTTAAATTCTTACTAGTAACAATGCCAATAAGATAGCTCTCTAAATCTATTTTTTCTAGTTACAATTCCAATTAGAGAGCTCTCTAATTTAATTAGAGAGCACTGCAGTTGCATTCTTACTAGTAAGAATTACAATTACAGAGCTCTTTAATGCAATTTGTACTAGTAACAATTAAATTAGAGAGCTCTCTAATTCGGTTTTTACTAGTAAGAATTACAGTTAGAGAGTGATAGCTCTCTAAATCTATTTTTTCTAGTTACAATTCCAATTAGAGAGCTCTCTAATTTAATTAGAGAGCACTGCAGTTGCATTCTTACTAGTAAGAATTACAATTACAGAGCTCTTTAATGCAATTTGTACTAGTAACAATTAAATTAGAGAGCTCTTTAATTCAATTAAAGAGCTCTCTAATTTGGTTTTTACTAGTAAGAATTACAGTTAGAGAGTTCTCTAATTCAGTTTTTACCAGTAAGAATTCTATTTAGAGAGCTCTCTAATCTAACTATTAGTACTAGTAAGAACTAAATTAGAGAGCTCTTTAATTCCATTACATATCTCTGCAATTAAACATATATTTAATGTGTTTTTATAGTAAAATTGAATTATAGAGCTCTGTAATTGAATTTTTACCAGTAAGAATGAAATTAGAGAGCTCTCTAATCTGAATTGTTACTAGTACAAATTGAATTAGAGAGCTCTATAATTGGAATTATTACTAGTAAAAAATTATTTAGAGAGCTCTCTAATTTAAATTGTTACTAGTAAAAATGCAATTACGAGTAACGCTGGGAATATTTTAAGATAAAACGGCTTGCCATACAGGTGAAATGAGACACCGCTTCCTGGTGTGTGTTCATGATGGGGACTGTGTGGGGAAGTAGCAGCATCTTCTGGGAACTTTTATTGCGCACTCCGAGCTCCAGGTAGGAAATCAAGTGAACTGTACTGTCTAGTCTAATCGAAGGAAATATTCGACAAATGAGGCACAGCCGGGCAAGTTTCATAGAATTTGTTACAGTTGATTTGAGAGTTGCCTAATTTCCCGATGACTCAAGCAGACTGGATTCATATGTTACGGGCGGTGCAAGTTTACATGACCATCTGCCCTGTGCATGATTGTTAAGAGTTTTGGAATTTAACCATGTTAAGCTATAGTTAAGTTGTTTTGAATCAGTCATTGATAAATAAAAAAAAAACGTAAATATTTATCAATACTTTTTGGTAACACTTTATTTTACACGTTACATACTTACAGTAAATATTGCGTAATTACAAGCAACTAACCAAGTAAACCAAACCTTAACCCTAAGTAGGCTACGTGTTGTTAATTAAGATTATCCAGTACTTTTTGTGTAATTTTACAGTAACAAGAAAACCTTAAAGTAAAGTATAGCCTACTTTTTTAATTTATTGGGAAAAAAATCTAGTTAAATGGTGATAATCTTGGTACTGAATTATTTCTAAATGTTATGATATTTACATGACTAAAGAATACCATGGTGCAAATACACAGTACCATTTTAAAGAAAACTTTACCATACCAGTGCACTTCTGGTACTTTTGTACTTGAGTAAGGACAAATGTTATACTGTTGTTCACTTTGCTGATTTGTTTTTGTTCAGTAATTCAGTTCAGTGACCACAGGAGATGCTTTAAGAGTTCTCAGCGGTCAAGAAAAACTTTGGGACACTGGAGTGGAGAAATGGCAGGTGACAAAACTACATCTGAGGACGTGCGCTCCTCCAGAGTCATCAGGGTGGTTTTCTTGGCACTGCTGCTTGACTTGCTGGGCTTCACATTAATACTTCCTCTGCTCCCCTCCATCTTGGACCACTACAGTCAAACTGGGGTGAGATCATATTTTATGGTTATAATTAGGATATGTCGTTGTTAAAAATTTGTAAAGATGTTTTACTGGTTTGTTTTGTTTGTTCAACAAGAAATGCTGCTGTATTTGGCCTAGATTAGTCATGCATGCTTCTAATTGTTGTTACCTTATAGAAAGGATATAAAGAGCATTTCCTGCACAAAAGGCAGCAGTGACTTTAGCAATTACATACTGAATGAATGAACATCATAATATATGCTTTGTTCAAGAGACATGTCTGTGGAAAGCCTTCAAGCTCAGAGCTGTTCTTTCTCATTAAATGAAGCTGACAATGGCTTCATTCACTTTTTTATCTAGCGCACACTCATTGAACTATTCCAATTAATGTGTTATACTTGGCAGTGTATAACATTTCTTTACTCTGTTACATTTTTCTCCACTGGATAGCAGCAGTTGAATGGAAACATAATAATGTGCACTGCAAAAAAAAAAATGGTTTTCTTACTCAGCATTTTTGTCTTGTTTTCCAGTTTTAATATCTAAACATTCTTAAATCAAACTACATTTACTTTATAAAATGACTTAAGACTTAAGAAGTATGTCAAAATTAGGTGAGATAATGCTAAAAACAAGAAAAAATATCTGTCAGTGGATTAAGAAAAATAAACTTAATTTATATGGAAAAATATATTTTTTTACCCCACTGATTTACCCCACTTTTTTTCTTGTATTAAGCATAAATTTACTTAGTTCTGATATCTTTTTCAGAAAACAAGACATAATGTCTTAAGTAATTTTCCTTCTATATATTTGTAATTGAAAACAACAAAAATACTAAGATTTTTTTTTGCTGTGTGTAAAAAAATAGCTTTCCCTTATCATTTTGATGTTGTAATCTCTGCATCTACAGGACGGTGTGTATCAGTCGTTACAGAGTGCAGTGGACTGGTTCAGAGGGGCGGTTGGAGTTCCTATGGAAACTAAATATAACAGTGTTCTTTTTGGAGGTAACTTCATTACTCTGACTGATGTTGGGGGTTTCTTCAAATGCAGCACATAATTCAAATTGACCTTTTGTATTGAAGACAGGTACATTGATTATTTTCGTCTCTGGTGTCGTAGGTCTGATAGGCTCTCTCTACTCTCTGCTACAATTTCTGTCATCACCCATTACTGGGGCTCTTTCAGATGATTATGGAAGAAAACCACTGCTGCTGTTAACAACCGTAAGTATAGACCATACTGACAAAATTAGATCATTATAGGGCAGGGATTCCCGAACGGTTTTGTCAGTCAAACCCCTTTGACATAAAATATTTACTTAAAATACCCTCTGAAATTTTAAGTTAATATTTCAGTAATTTAGCAAAATATTCATATGTTCACAGTTCTCATGTTGGTAAATGATCACATGGCATGGCAGGTAAACAAAAAATAATTATTTATTTATTTTTATTATAATTTTATTAATTATTAGCTTTTCTAGGGGTTTGTGAATCCTGTTTTGGGAAACCCTGATATAAGGTATTTATTAATATAAAATTAAATTATAACATTACCTTTAATGTGTGTCAATCCCTTTTCTTATGGAAACCTGTTTGGAATTTAAAAAAGAAAAAAGAAAAAGGTAATTGTGACTTTTTATCTTGTATTTCTGACTTTTTTCTTGCAAAATTGTGAGAAACAAAGTAATTTGTAGATTAAAAAGTTGCAATTCACTTTTTTTATTTATTTTTTCCATGGCAGAAACGGGCTTTTATATTTTCTAGACCTAGTAGATCTGAGTAACATTTTCCTTGTTTTCCAGGTAGGTCTCATGGCATCCTACATTCTGTGGGCTTTCTCTCACAGTTTTACCATTTTTCTGCTGTCTCGAGTGGTTGGAGGAATTTGTAAGGGTAATGTCAGCCTGTGCACTGCTATTGTGGCGGACCTGCCTTGCCCTAAAGCAAGAAACAAGGGAATGGTGAGTTATGGTCATCATTATCTGAAATGAATGTTTTCAGGGCAAACTTTACATTTTAAGCTTTTATCTCTGGAGTCTTTTGAAGATTTACTGGGTTTGTTTTCTTCTGTTGTCAGGCAATGATTGGTGTTGCTTTCTCCTTGGGGTTCACACTGGGTCCATTAATGGGAGCATACTTTGCTCTGAGACTCAAAGACGCTGAGGTGTTTTATCAAGGCCCTGCCTTGCTGGCTGTCCTTTTTTCTTTAGCAGACCTGCTTTTTATTTTCTTCATGCTGCCAGAGACTTTACAAAAGGTCAGCAAGGTGACTATGCAACAACCAGAAGCTAACTTTTAATAATACGCAAAAATAATGATCTTTAAAAAAGCATCATATGACCCCTTTAAGTGACTAAAATAATGCTGTTCAGTTATGTTGTAATAATGTAATGTAAGTATGTAATTGTCAGTGAACACATTACGCTTGAATATTTTAGTGACATTTAAAGCCAGCATGAAATGAATGAATGTCAGGATACAGAAAAAAAGATTTGTTGCTACTTTCGATACATTGTGACTTTTATTGTAATCATCTCCTGAATGGACTTCAACTTAGTTTTAATTGTTAATAGAATTGTCTTTAATTAGAAATGTAATGAATGTTTTTCACAACTCAGTGTGCGTCAGAGTCTTCAGGTATTCAACACTCTGGAGATCTTCTTTTCCCTGTTGCACTTTTCAAGTTCACTGCCCTCACAAGAACACAGAATCCACCATCTGAGCAAAGTGAGTCCATAAACTTACAGCCAACTTAAAAGTCTTAAATTTGACCAGGATGAATAACTGTCACAGCAATTGATTGTGATGATTATTTTACTTTTTTTCCACAATAGAAATGCTAAATCTTAAGGCGCTTGGATTGGTTTACTTCACATATCTGTTTCTCTTCTCTGGGTTGGAATTCACCTTGAGTTTTCTGACACATCAGCGCTTCCAATTTTCCAGGTAAGGCCTGAATCTACAGCTAACGCAACAATTCTTAACATCGCAACTTCCAAGAGCCTCTAAAAAACAGCTACAAAAGGCTGTGGTTACTGCTTCTACACATCAGTTGCCTACACAACAGCATCCAAATTGTAACATTATGAAGCACACCATTGTCTTCAACTGATAAACTGTCCTTAGCAAATCTAGCTAATCGATTTTGAGTTCAGGGCCCAACTTAAGCCATGAGATGTGACTCATGAAGTTGTGACATCTTTTGAGTTTATTTGGATGTTGGCATGAGGAACAAGGAAGTTTTGGCTAATTTATTATATATCATAAACAACCAGAACGAGGGAAAGAGGACAAAGGTTGAAGTCAAGTATAGCTGCCCCTAGGATAATATAGGATTTCAATTTACCAATTCACTCTTGCACAGATGTGTTTTGCTTAATCAGAACCGTGAGATACTAGTATCATTGTGTCTGACATTGTGTGTGTGTGTATCATAGAGCAGCTGAATCCTGTGGTCTTGCCTGAGGTTTTTAAAATGAAACTCTGCCTTCTTCTGTCATAGCATGCAGCAGGGGAAGATGTTCTTTTTCATCGGCATTACCATGGCAGTGATCCAGGGTGGATATGCCCGCAGGATCAAACCAGGTCATCAGATCCAGACTGTTAGCGTGGTAAACTCTTTCATGCATTACTGGATCACGAGTCAATCAAAATGTCTTGCAATTTTCTTGGAACTCTGAATATTATTTAATGATTAACTACTGAAAGGCCTGCACATTGTGACTACATATTTGCTTTCATATATGTATATTTCAGGCAATTATATCACTTATACCAGCATTCTTGCTCATTGGAATAGCATGGAATTTGACACTGCTTTATTCTGGATTATTTTTGTACTCTTTTGGTAAGCAAGTATGCATCTGTCAGTATACAAACACATTATTATTAGTATCATCATCTAAATATTTACTAGTTTTTTTTTGTGTTAGTATCTGAATTTGTAATTTTTTTTTCAGCTGCTGCTATTGTTGTTCCATGCCTTTCAACACAAGTGTCTGGACACGGTGGGATTTAAAAAAATGTTTTCCTGTGTCTAGTTTTGTCTGAGCTTTATTTTCTTAAGTTAACCATTCTGTAGATTTTTTTTAAAAACATTATTTAAAAGGATAGTTCACCAAAAAAATTAAAATTGACTTGTTCTTCTATGGCACACAAAAGAGGATATTTTTAAGAATTGTGATGATTGGATTGGAAATGGTTTAGATTCAATTATATATAATCTTAGAAAGATTAAACAATTATTTGTATTTATGTTAACAACCCTAACAGTAACTTACAATTGCAAGGAAATCATTTAAATCAGTCTGTACCTTTATTTATTGCAGTTTACAGCAAATATTAACATTTATTTAACTTTTTTTTCTCCAGTGTACTGGTTGGCTGGAGCAGAATTATGTTTTATAATCAGCTCAACATTCTTTATAGTCCCTCTGATCTTACTGAGCCGGCTGAGGAGACAGAAGGAGGAATGAGATTGAGAGTTTTAGGATTCACTCTTGTGTCATAAGAGGGCCAGACCTCTTTTTCCTTATTGAAAGCATTAAAGTCCACTCAAGAAAGTTCCTCTTAAAGTGTTTACAGTGAAAAACAATAAAAAGTACTTGTGCTTATTGAAATTTGTTTACTTAAATGTTTAAAAAAAAGAGACGGTAAATAGTAAGACATGTCACAAATGTATTTTTTACAACACTTAATTAACACAGAGGTCAACAGATATGCATATGTTTATGCCTCTGTGTCAGTGATACCGTTTTATAAGAATTACATTATATGTTTGGCTAATGTAGCTATATATGCACTGGTATATATATATATATATTTTTTTTTTTATGTGTGTTTATCAAAATATGTGGATACTAATTGTATCTTTTCAATCAGATTTCTAAAAAAAGATTAAAAGATTAAATAATGATGATTAATGTCTACTGGAATGTTTTATTTATCTTTCTTTTTATATTAACTTGCATGATGTTTTTTGTATTATTTATTAATGCAAATTCAACATACAATTAGGAATAAAAACACAAAAATTCCTACATTCAGCTGTCAAGCCAAAGTACAATGGGAAGCAATTATATTAGTATTTAATAAGAGAAAAAAAGTATGATTATTAGGAAGTTCCAATATATTTATTTATTGCAGATGTTTTGATCGTTTTCTTTTTAACAGACGATGAAATTGTATCTAAATACAAATTAAATTCTTGCTTAAATACATTAAACTATTGTTTACATTTCACGTTTTTACATTTATGAATTTAAAACTTACCAATAAACAAAAGTAAGTTTATGCATAAAGTTATTTTGTCCATATTTTTGTTATTAATAAAAAACAAAAACTAAAAGAATACGACTATAAGATAAAGAACCTAGACTAGACTAAAGACTATAAGATTTTAGTCACCTAAAACATTAATTTTAGACCACATATTTTTCCTAGGTTTATTTTAAATGCTGAGAAAAATAAATACATAAAATATAATAATAAAAAATGAACAAAAATTAAAAATGAACAAAAATATTTTGTTACGCAGGTCGTCAACTACATTTTGTGTTGAGTAATGTCTTACTATCAGACCATCTTCAAAATAAAAGTCCCCGCAACGACTGGTCTTGTTGTCAACTTTGAACTCAATCTTTAATTATTCGACCTACCAGTTTTACATCTGAACCGAACGGAAATACGTCTTTTTTAAAATGGAGTTTGTTAAAGGCCGAAGGTATGAAATATTTTATTATCTGTAAAATATATAGTTTTTACACCTACCAGTTTTACATCTGAACCGAACGGAAATACGTCTTTTTTTAAATGGAGTTTGTTAAAGGCCGAAGGTATGAAATATTTTATTATCTGTAAAATATATAGTTTTTATATAGTTCATCATCATGACTGTGCTTACACTAGCTAACATACACGAGCTATCTAGAAATCCCATATGATCTGACACAGAAGAGCTGCTGGAAGCTGTCGACAGCTAAACATGCGACACACTGGCCATCTATCATGTTATTTCACATATAAGCTTGAATCTCAAGTGTCTTAAGTTTGAATCAAAGGAGTTTGCTTGCTGTTGTAGTAGCTGGCTGCTGCTAACCTATCCAATCCAATATTATCTCCTTACGACAGCAGTCCTGCAAAAACCTTACATACATTTACTTATGATCTCTTAAAATAATAAATGTCGGTGTGTAGACAATATTAAACTGTAATATGAAAGTGACTTTGGTTGAATGGATTATGACATAAGACTGTTTACTGAGCGGTGTTTAGTCTTTAATTTGGTTGCTGCGTCATTATTTGTCATTTACATGGATTCAGCATCGTTTGTTTAAACGCAGATTTGTGCACTCCATACAGTGATTTTTTTTCAAAGTGGTTATTTTATTTATTCAACTTCGTTTCAGCTCATGCATGTTGTCTTATAACCGGTCTGATCTTTGAACCTGTCTCTGTGCTCACAGATAATGAAGGATGGAGTTTTGGATACTCTGAATTTGTTTGATTCATAGCCTTCCACAGTAAGACAAAATGGAGGACCACTTAAAAAGGTAAAAATAACTGACTGTGTGGAATCTGATTTTATTTACCAGTCAGAGCAAGCCAGCATTGAGAAATTATTCATTAATTTATGTAATGTTAGATTTGTGTTCAAGTTCAGTGGCCCCAAAAAGTGTTGGGATACTTAAAATGTATGAATATCTTTGCATTATATATCAAACTATCAAACCAAGTGCTTTCTGCAGATGTGATAGAATGACCTTTTTTTCAGACCTAACTTCACTTTCCCGGGGAGACCCATACATGATAAGCAGGGGGGAAGAAAGAAGATATATTGGCCACAACTTATTCATTTGTTCCCTTGTTTTGGCAAAATCATTGACATGATTTAAATAAACTAAAAAGGGGAATAATTAGTACAACATGGCCATGCATTAAGTTGTGGGAACAAATTCATAATTTGTGACCATGATATGTCTCCATATTTTCCTGAGCCATTTTTTAAATAACTTTAAACCAACTCATCAGGTTCACACAGATGTCCAATCAAAGTAATCACAGGTGTAGTTCATCAAATCCAAGGGATAGTTCACACCAAAAAGAAAATTGTCATAATTTACTCGCCTATATGTTGTTCCCAAAACCCATAGGATTTTGGTTAGTCATTGAGAAACACATTTTTAATGAAACCTGAGAGGTTTATGTCCCTCTATTGCAAGTCTGTGTAACCAAAGCTTAGATCGAAAAAGGCCATAAAGGCATCGTAAAATGAATCTAAATGAGTTGAGAGGTTTAATCCAAGTTCCGTCTGCACTTCCATGTTTACCAAATGTGGTGTGCTTCATGTATGTTGATCATTGTTTAGATGTAAATAAAAAAGCCCAAATTAAACCTGTTCATCATGTAAAGCGATCATATCTCTTCACAAGACTTGGATTAAATCATCAGGACTCGTTTTACAATGCCCTTGTGACCTTTGTGGATCTTTTATTGTATATATATACTGTTTATGTAGGCTATATACTGTATTCTATATACAGTACCAGTCAAAAGTTTGGACACACGAATGGGAAGTGTGTCCAAACTTTTGACTATACTGTACTATAATATAGCCTACACATAAAGAATATCGGCCGATATATCGGTATCATTCTTTTTTTACTCCATAATATCGGTATCGGCATCGGCCCCCAAAAAACCCATATCGGTCGGGCTCAACTTTTAAGTTTTGGTTCTTTTACTGTAAGTCAATGGAGGGACAGAAACCTCTCAGGTTTCCTTCAAAATATCTTAACTTGTGTTTCTAAGATTTACCAAAGTCATATCAGTTTGGAACGACATGAGGGTGAGTAAATAATGACAGAATTTTCACTTTTGGGTGAACTAATTGACTATGAATATTTTCCGCTAACATTTGACGGCAAGAAAGTGTAACAATACTTGTATTCATTTTGAACAGTATATCAGTTGCTTTTAATTGTTGTTAATTGCTTTTAATTGTCCAACTGCTTTTTCGGGCCGCTGTACATCACATTGCATTGGAGAACTAACGAAATCTCGTCGTTTTGACTCGTCATATGATTTTCAGTTTTTAACTTTAGACTTTATTGTACACAGAGCTCCATATAAAAACAAGACATGCCAGTCGTCACCCGAGGACTGGTTCAAGAGAAGGCGGAGCTCAGTAG